ACCCAAATTTACACTTTTTGGCTGCCACATCACAATGTTGCCTTATGTTGAGCCTATAGCCCCCCCAAAGCTCGCAGATGCTTTTCAGAACAATTCAGAACAACTGCTCCATGCCACCTCCATCTTATATTTATGAAGTTGATTCGGCCCAATACGCTAACATATCAAGATCCTTCTGGATCCTGACTTTGTCATCTAATGTATTGGGTATCCCTCCCAACTTTGTATAGTGCCTTCTATGCCTTTATCCTAGTCTTTGATAAAAATATTAAATAGTAAAGGGCCAAGCACAGATCCAAGTGGACACCTCCTAACATATGAACATTGAACCATTAATAACTATTCTTTAGTCCAGCCATCCAACCATATACATGATCATTGAATCTATATTTCTGAACTTTATCCATAAGAACAGTATGAGTTTCTTTATCAAAAGTTTGGCTAACATCTAGATAAACTATATTCATAGTCCTCATCCCCAGCCCCTTACACACACACTAGTAATCCTGTCAAACAAGGAAATGAGGTTGGTCTATCATTCTTTGTAATTACTGCTTCCCTTACTGGACATTCACTAACTTTCCCTTTCTAGATAGTCTAATTATATTTTCTGGAATTTTCTCCAGCATTTGAAGTCAAGCTCACTCACCTATAATTTGCGGAATCTGTTCTCTTACCTTTTTTTGCATAATGGAATAGCGTCTGCTCTTCTCCAATCTTGTGGCACCTTTCTCATTTTCCATAATCTCTTAAATATCATGGCAGTGGTTCAGCAACCACAGCTGCCAGTTCTTTCAGGAATCAAGGATATAGTTCATCTGGGCCCAGTGACTTGAATTCAAGGGCAAATAAGTGCTCTCTTACTATTGCATTACTTATCTTGGGTATCAATTCCTTGTTAGTCATTTTGTTTTTCATTTACAGTGTAAAAGTCATTCTCCTTTGCAGAGAAAACAGAAATAAAATATGAGTTGCACAGCTGTGCTTCTCTCTTTGAGAAGTTTTCATCCTCAGGCAAATCTAACCTTTTTTTAATCTTTGTTCTTCTCCCAAAATAACTACAAAAGCCCTTTCTGTTGTCCTTACTTTCCTTTACCAGTCTCAGCTCACTCAGGGAATTAGCATTACTGACACAATTTTTATAGGACCATTCCACACTTATATTCATCTTGGCTGCCTGGCCTTACTTCTGTACATTTCTTTTTTTAAATCTAGGTTTGTTGGTGAATTTCCTGTGCATCCACATGTATCTCTTTAGACAAGTCCGATTTTTCCTCCTCATTGGAATTGTTTCCTTTTATGTGTTCAAAATTTCTTTCTTGAGCATCAGCTAACCCTACTGGGTGACTTCCCCTGAAATAATTTATTTGGTACAACCCTAAATACTTTTCTTCTAAAATCACTAAAATCTGCTTTCCCAAAAGCTAAGGGGCCATGTCAGACTATACCTAGTTTTCTTTTCTTTCCCTATCATAAACTCTAGGATGGAGTAATCACTTTTCCCCAAGGTTCCCAGTATTTCCTCCCCAGGAATCACTTCCTCCTGTTTAGAAAAATCTTATACAGAATAGGTTTTCCTCTTGTTCGTTCCCTACCTTTTCAAAGATGAAATTATCACTAAAGCAAATCAAAAACTTAGCTACTTTGCTTTTGCAAGAGACAGAACACCAGCAGATGGCTGAATCCCTCATCAGTACTATCTCTTGCTTCTAAGTCAGTCTTATGATCTATTTCCCAAACTCTTCATCTATTTTTTCTTTCTAGCCAAGTGGTCTGTAATACAAGCCAGTGACAAAATCATTTCTTTTTCTCCCTCCTTTGACCTTCAGCCAAATATCCTCTTTCTCATGCTTCTCTACCTCAACCCCTGACTAATTCCTGGATTTCCTCACATGAGTATACCTTCTTAATATCGAATACTACTCCACTCCCACTCCTTTTACCTGTTCTGTTCCCTTTCAATAAGGTCTACCCATCCAGAGCCATGGTCCAATCATGAGTTTCACCCTACCAAGTCTCAAAGATAGCTAGCTACACAGTCAAATTTTAGGTCATGTTTGATTTTAAATTGTTTTTGTTTTCCAGTCCCTCAGTGAATCCTTAAATCCAGTCCCTAAATGTCACTTTAAAGCCTGCATATAGGAGTTGATAAAAACCATCTTTTATTTAATTTCTCAACTCTTTCTTTAATTTGGGGTGGGACTATTACAAGTTAATAACTTGAGATGGAGACAGATAGTTTGAAAGTGAAAGAAACCGAAAAATGTAAACCAGGCTCCAACTGATGGTGGTACTAAAATGTTTTTCACAAATGGAAATTCAGTTTCACAAAAATGAAAAAGCTTAAGTCCATGCCTGGGGTAATTTAATCATTGTTGCAACTTGCTAACCATTAACTCCTTTTAGCAGCATAAGCAGTTGGCTTTAAGGAGCTGGCAGTGAGTGACTGACGTTGAGATTTAATGGGAAGGGCATTTATTTGAGAACCAACTTCAAGCCCTGGTTCTGACACAGGTTAGGTAACTTTGAGAAAGTCACATAGCTGCCAAGTGTAAAGACATCCTAGATAGTAGTACTGTGGTTTTTCCAGCTTCTAAATGGGGATAATAACTTCATCTCCCTACAAAGATATTGTGACATCAGGATCATAAATCCATAGCCATATAATTTGAATTTTATTTATTTTATTCTGAACTTAAGAAATAAAGCAAGCATTCTCATACATATTCAAATAGAAAAAATGCACACTTTGAGTGACTAAGTCGTTTTGACTATTATAAATATCCAAAATCACTACAAAGGACATATGAAAGAAGACATTATCTGCATCAGAGAAAGAACTGATAAATAGAAGTATATATAGAATTGTTTTACTTATATAATACAAATTTGTGTCTAATGGTAGCCATCGGGGGGGGGGGGACCTGTAGGGGAAAGGAAGAAAAAAAGGAAAAAAGTTACATGATAACTTTATTATATATTTAAAAGGAATAGCAAGTTGTACATAAGAGATTTGAAGTTTCATGTACAATCATCTTTTTTTCTATTCTACTATACTATAGAAATTCTTGTTTAATTTCTTGAGTTCAGAATAAAATCAATTTTTAAAAAGAAAAAAGAACCTATATATTCTAAAATATTCATAGCCATATAATTTGAAGGGATCATAAAGGTCAAGTCCAACCACCTCCTTTTATAGAGGAGGAAACTAAGGACAAGAGAGGTTAAGTGACTTGCCCAAAATCACACAAGCACCAAAATTTGAACCAAGATTTTGAAGAGTTTCCAAAAGAAAGGTGTTTTAAAACTTATGCCTAGGATATGAGGCATGATTTACTAAAGAAAATACTCTGTGAATAAAACAATCAGGCAAAGATACTTGCAATATTTACTTAAAGCAACAGATTTTTTGTACCTATGACTGACTTACATATGAGCAAAACAAACTCCAATATGGAAATCCAAATTTACACAGCATATATATTTTGTGAACGTATGAAGCAGAATTGGGGGATCTGGGCCACATAAGAAGGTGTAAAAGGATCCTGGGGAGAGGTGTCATTAGCTAGGATAAAGTTTATGACACAACTACTCTATTTGGTTGTGTCAAAGGTAAGATTAGCATCTCTGGAGGATTGCTAATTCAGCTACTTTTAACAATTATTGAAAGCACTACCCAACCAGTGGCTGTAATATAGCATAGTGGTACCTAAACATAGCTGGTCCATTTCACAAGGGGCTGCCTGCTGGTGTTTATATTACATAATGTGGCTACCCAGATAAGTTACAATAGCATAGATTGGGGTGGAGAACTTGTGGCCTCGAGGTCACACGTGGCCCTCTGGCTTCTCAAGTGCAGCCCTTTGACAGATCCAGACAGAACATTCTGTGAAGTTTGGATTCAATTAAAGGGCCTCACTTGAGGACCTAGAAGGTCACATGTGATCTTGAGGAAGAAGGTTCCCCACTCTGTCGTAGATGACAGAATAACAGAACCAGAAGGAACTTTTAAGATTATCTGATGAGGCATTTTATTTTATAGATAAGGACATTGAGGCCAAAGGACATTAGTAAGAAGTAATTAGCAGCTGAATTGGCAAGAATCAAGCCCTCCTGACTTATTCAAGTGTTCTTTCTACCTCCCCCAATGACTCTGTGAGAGATGGAAGGTTTGGGTTATATCTAGTACAATCAATTACATAGATAGTTTTTGGTCAAGTTATATAGACTCTTAGGAAATAGTCCTATGTAATATCTCAGAAACTGAGCAGAGTTTATTCAGCTGTACCAATGACAATTTCCCTAATAATTATTTTCAGAATGAAGAGAGATTAATGAAATTAATTGTTTTAAGATATATGAAATGGATACTTTGAATACATTTTAAATTAACTTTTCATTTAATTTCATTAAAATTTACAACTAAGGTGGGGAGCCGTCTGTTAGGAGGGAGATCAATGGACTTACAATTAGAGGGACTGAGGTTAAGTCCTGATTCTGACACTTAATAGCTTTTCTAAGTTTCAGTTTTATCATCCATAAAAAGGGAGTGAAAACATAACATTCTAACTACTTCATCATGTCATTACCAAAAAAAAAGTGCTTTGTGAACCAAAAAGCTCTTAAAGAAATGATCTATATCTTCTCTAATGTTGTTATCCAGGTGGGGAAATGAAAAACAAAACTGAATATTAATTAGATGGCAAAATTAAATGAATACAAAATATCCTTGTTAGGATGGTTACATTGTGTTCTATACCATTTGACCTTGAATTAGGGTTGCTTTTTTTAAAAAAAATCAATTTGCCTATAAGAAGAGCTATTTCAAAATCAAAACATTGGACCCATTTAAAAATTATGAAATACTAGGGGTGAATTCAATGTGTATGAACTACTATGCCCCCTGGGAGAGCACAAAATGTCTGATAAAATAAAGTATGTAACTTTATGTCATCACTATTATAAAACCACCTTAACATCAAAATTCACACTAATTTCAGGTCACTGCAGGGGAACTTACTAAGAAAACTTCCCAGTGATGGTTTCAAGAAGTACCAAGATCTTCAGAAGCTGTAAGAAAACATTTGAATCATAAAATTATCAGAAACAGAGATGACTACCTTTTTATATTTTTGCATATGCTATTTGAATCTCCCTTTACAGCTCCCTAGGGAACATCAATATACAGTAAAGTCCCAGAAAAGGACAGCCTTCCCTCTCTCTCCTCTCTCTATTTGGAGCAGAGAATTGTTAGGTTTTGTTGCTGCCAGTTGATAGTTTCCTAAGATATTTTGGAAACTTTTAGGAAACTCTCAGTGGACAGGATAACCCCATACAAACTGTAGCTGTCTACACATCGCTATCCCTACAATGCTTTCATTACCCTCCTTCACCCACCCCACAAAAAGGGAATTTTCAATAATATATGTGCTCTTGAATTATGCTAGAGAAGGCAGTAGAGAATCTATATCCTTCCCCCTGTCAAGGTAAACTAAATTGTCCTCTCAGGGTATGTACTAGCTCACAGCTCAAAGTTGACTGAAATTTGTAGCTGGTAGTCAATTCAAAGTAATATTTGCATGTTATTTTGGCTCAGCATTAGTTCCATTTGGTTTCATTTTCTTTACAGATTAAGACCCTATCTATTCATCCCAAAGTCAAACTAGGACTATTGTAATGCTGATCTTCAGATGTTATTTTGCCAGTTGGTGGTGTAGTGAATAGAAGGTGTCAGGCTTGGAATCAGGAAAATCTAGATTGAATCTTGCCTCAGACACATGATCCCTGAGTGACTATAGCCAAGTGACCTAACCTCTCAACATCCACACACAACCCTCTCTATCTGTTACAGATCTACATCTTTTAGAGTTATTTTCCTTACCAGAAGCTCCTTATACCCATGAATGAGGAGGGGAAGGAGGGAGTAGGGCAAGAGGGAGTCAGGGAAAGAGAGGAGGGAATGAAGGAGAGAGGAGAGAAGTGGGAGAAAGAGAGAGAGTTAAAAAACTAGTTTGGATGTTTATGTCATGGATTATCAAACCATCTAGAGAAAACGTAATGATTTCTAATGTCATTTTCATGCTCCAAAGCTATTGCTTATCCAGAAAAGCTATGTCTGTATCTCATCTTCAAACTAAAAACTTAAAAATGTCATTGATAGTACATGAGCAATTTAAAAATAAAAAAGAATTCCATAACAGAATACTTTCAAAATATAGGTAATCAAAAACATTATCGTATTTAAACATAAGAATTTTAATTATAACAATATTTCATAACTTAGGCTGAAGCTTTTGTTATCAAGAAGAGATCAACACTACAGTCAGAATCACTTCAATGAAACTGTTCTCACTATTTTCTTGTTTGGAAAAAATTTTTGTGTCTGTAGCGCCACCTCATGTCCAGAGTTTTAAATGCAGCTAGTATCATTCAAATACAGAGTTTAGCCATAGAAATTTAATCTTTCGTACAGTAAACACAGAGCAATGGACTAAATGGTCAGCCTGATTTACTTATTAATAAAAGCAAAATAAGTAGGCCACAAGTGGTTATTTGATCAACAATTTCTTGCTTAGCACTAGATCTGTTGTTTTGTTTGTTTTGGGTTTGTTTGGTTTTTTTTGGTCCAGACCTATAATTTCATATCTGTAAGATGTTCCAAGGTGAGGAAACTCCACCTTCCAATGGAGATAAGCAACTGTTCTATGACTTCTTGAGGCATTGGGCCTTCCTGGAGCCACTGAACTATTATGTGTTCAATTCAGGCCAGCTCTCCATCCACTGGTCCTCACTGTTCATTATGCCTTGGGTTATTATAACTATTTTTTAAATGACTACTAATAATGGCTAATCTAATGGAATGGATTTCATGAGGTCATAGCTTAACAGAACTTAAAAGTCATCTGATCCAACCCCTTCATTTTTAAATAAAGAAACTGAGACCCATTTGCCCAATATCACACTGGTAGTAAACCCAGAGCTAGGATTTTAACCCAGATACTCAGACTTCAAACCCCAAATTCATTCTATATCATATCACACTGTATTAATTATAGTCAAAGGCCATGTAGTAAACACTGAAGTATAAACAAAGGTGGTTTCCTACACTGGAAGTTCTTAAATGAATGTATGTATAATCTGAGGGTACACAGAAGAGAATAGTGACCACACACACACACACACACACACACACACACATACACACACCCTTTCTTGTCCAAGCAGTCAGACAAAAAGCTAGGTCATCTTGGTCATCTCTCTGAATGCAGGGGAGAAGCAATTGTGAAAAGTCAAGGCTTTAATGCACGTAAATTTGGTGTTTCTTCTGCTTTAGTCATAGAAAAATGAATCCCAGCCACAAAACCTGCTTGTCAAAAGTTAGGCTGACCTGAGTCAGTCTAAGAACTGTCTTACTGTCTAAGAACAGTAAACACTGTGTTAACTTGTTCTAACGATGAAGAATTATAGAGGAGAGGGAACATTTAAAGGTATTTACCTTTCAAGAGATTTTTAGCTAAAGTACCATGTGGCATAATATTTAATGTTTATTATATTTTGTTAATAAAGACTCTAAAAGCTATTTTTAAGTTTTATACATGTTTGTTCATGTTTATCTCATGGAATTTTAAAATAAATTTATTTTAAGGTTTACCAATATTTTTTAAAGTATGCTGGATTCTTATAAATCATGTTGATATCCATCTTTATTCATTTATTTCATTTTTCACTGTTTTTTACCATTTTCTTCCTAGGTACCTGCAAAATAATAAAATTAGATCTGTATCCGTGCATGCTTTCAGGGGACTGCATAACCTTACTAAGCTGTAAGTATCAGTCTTAATACCTTCAAATATGTTGGAAAGATGAGGTCTTAGGACAGTGCTAGGATAAAGAGCAGTATAGGTTATTCTCCATAATCTATTCACACAATTCTAGTCCAACTGTTAGTTTCTTAATTAGTTCAATGTTAGGCAATAAATATTAATTAAGTGCCTACTATGTGCAAGACCCTGTGGGCTAAGGATCCAAAGGTGAAAACCAAACACATTGTCTAACTTCAAGGAGTTTACAGTGTAACAGGAAGGATATGAAATTTATGGGACTGCAAGTTGGGTGGGTAGAGAGCTAGCCTGAAGCCAGGAAACATCTCCATAATTTTAACAATCAGAGGAGGTGTTTGAGGAGGTAAGCAAGGGAGGGTAATGTGCAAGGGAAAAAAAGATGCAATCCCACCACCACCCCATCCCACCCCACCCTTTACCTCCATTGTTGTATCATAGCTCAACCACCTCTGGAAAGTGTTCTATAGTTACAGAGACTTTGTTCTCCTACCTCAATCCAATTCAATTCAATATTTTTTTGAATATCTACTATACACAAAATACTATTAGGTACCAAAGATTTGAAGAAAAAAAAAGTTTCTACCCTCAAGGAGCTTCTAATCTACTGGGTGAGAAGGACTGGGGAATGGTTAATATATACAATACTGAGTTTGTACATATTTGTTTGCTTGTTGTCTCCTCCATTAAATTGTGAGCTTCTTGAGGCAGGGAGAGTACTTTGCCTCTTTTTGTATTCCCAGTGCTTAACATAGTGTCTGGCACATAGTAGGCATTTAATAAATGTTTACTGCCTAACTTTTGACTATTAAAGTGTTCTGCTCTGTGCCTAGTTGTCTGAGATACAAAAACAGTAAAAAGCATCTTCAAGGACCTTAGTCATTGGAGAAATAAGATGTTTCCATGAAACTATTAAGGGTCAGCTATGTGGCTCAGTACTAGGAGAGTTCAGGGAAGAGAATTATCAGGATGAGCTAGAATAACTTTGGACGAGGTAAGAGGCTCAGTTTAAATACCACCTCTTCTAAGAAACTTTCCATGACTTCCCCCATGTAAAAGTGATTTCTTCATCATCTGATTCCATAGCATACTGCCTTATTTGCATTTTACTTAGTAGCTACATCCCTAACTCATCACCTCCACTTGTTTGTTTATCTCTGGATCCCTCCAGCACTTACCATAGTGAATTACACATAGTCTGTATTAAATAAATGTTGGACTTTTGAAAGACTTAAGAACTCTGATCAACAATGACCATGATTTTAGAGGACCAATAATGAAGCACGCTACCTACCTCTTGATAAGGAGGTGACAGGCTTATAATGCATATATATATGACAGAGAATGGAGGAATGCAGGAATTTGTTTCAACTATATATATTTGTTAGAAAGGTTTTCTTTTTCTCTTTTTCCAACAGGGAAGAAGGTAGGAGGGAGTGGAAAAAAGATTTTTTTTGTTCAAGCATAAAATTTTATAAGATTTATAAATTTATAAAATTGTATAAGATTTTTTGTTCATTTAAAAGCATAAAAGTGATTTTAAAAATAAATGTTAGATGAGAGGAATAAGGATGGAAGCTAGATAGAGAATGGGGTCTTGTGGTAATGCCAGTGTTTTTTGGTTAGTAGGACTCCCCTGAAGATTCCTACATTTGTTTGCATATAGAAGAGCCCTAGGAAACACCAGGGAAAGAGAAGAAGCTATTTTTGAATCCTATCATCTACCTGGAATTCAAGGATGGGAATAAAGCCTTTTCTCCCCTAGCTTTAGGGTTTTAGGGAGGGAAGTAGGTCACATTGGTGGTGGTGATCATCCCCACTATCCACAAAGTATGACACTCTCCTGGTAGAGGAAGGGCATTCCAGATAGTAGATAAAGTGTGAACTGTATATGACCTAGAAATTCAGAAAAGAGAAACATCCAAATGGACTGAATACTTAACAAAAACCTCATGGGATCTTGAAGAGTCCCTTGAGGAGTGGCTAGGATTTAAATGGACATCAGGAAATCCATTCTAGATAGGTAGCTTGGCATATATCAATAATTTACAATCCAAAGATAATGGACCCCTATAGGGTTATAGAGTTATCATTGCAGGGGGTCAGTAAAACTATCTGACCAAAAAAAAAAACTGTCTTTTTATCTTCAACACCAACAAAATAAGCAGCATGACTCAATATAATAAATACTCTGTAGACTAAATAAATGTCTTAACCGTGTACTATAATTGTATATACAGGGTGTTATGATTAACAAAATATTCATTTTAAAACATTATTAAATTTATGGTAAATTTTTGTCAGTATGTAGTTCCTCAAACAGTGGATACAAAAAAAAAGGATTCATGTTATTGAGAAAATTGGGGGGGGGTTAAGAACCCCTGTTATAGAGAGAAAAGAGAAAAAAATAATCTCTAGCAAAAGATTGAGCTTTAAGGAATAACGATAGTGAGAGGGCAGATGAAGGAAGAAAAGGAAACAAAGGAACACCAAGGAAACCAGAAAACCCTTCATAAATATCCATTTTTTATTGTGTTTTGGAGATTACTTTCTTCACAAAACCCAGTGAGGTGGACAGCACAGGTGTTATCCCCATTTTGCAAATGAAAAAAGGATAAAGTGAATAAGCATTTATTAAGCCCTAGAGAGGTTAAGTGACTTCCTTCCAATCATGTTAATTAGTAAAAAAAAAAAAAAAAAAAACCAGCAGAACTGTGTTTTGAGCCCAGGTTTTTTGACTTCGGAACACAGCGGCATTATCATAGCCCCCCAAAATTGATCATAGTAGTCATTAGTAAAATGAAAATGTATGTATACACTTTTGCTACCTTCTTAAAAATTAATGTCTGTAGGATAGCTCACCTCCAAATAAGAAATGAAAAATTAGGCTAGTCATCAGATTTTTTTTCCTTTGCAATACCAAAACTCCACATATTTTAATATCTCTAGATTGACTTAATTTTCCCCCATATTTGTTCGACAAATAGAATAAACTCTAAAGCGTATTTCCATTATCTTTTTTTTCAGGTATCTGAGCCACAACAAGATAACTGTTTTGAAGCCTGGTGTGTTTGAAGATCTCCATAGATTGGAATGGCTGTATGTTTTCTTTGTAGGCAAAAACATTCGTTTTTACAACATTGTAATATATTAATGAAAACAAAGTTTTCTTCTACTTGGCAGGATAATTGAAGATAACCAACTCAGTAGGATTTCTCCATTAACATTTTATGGGCTTAATTCTCTTATCCTCCTGTAAGTACAATTTAATAATGATGAAAAAATTTTTTTACTAGTTTAAGCTTAATAGGGATAAATTGGATTAGCAAAAGATTCTAAAGGTTCTTCCCCCATTGTTATCAATGTGTTAATCATGGAAAATGAAGTTGTCAGTCCAATTTTAAAGATTGTAAAACATTTTGAAAATCTCTATTCCTTGATCTTTTCCATGACAAATGGTTTCTGAATATAGAAGTAAAAAGAACATCTTTGGAGTATAAAACCTTTTAAAGCTGGATACAGCCTTACTATGTATATTGTAATTTATCTTTAACAAACCAAGACTGTACTCAGGTTTGTCTTAATTATTAGAAAAACTCAACTTTTTCCTTAATGATTCTGGTCAAAGTTAAAATGAATGATCTTTTAAATTAGAAACTCAAAATATGCATCACAAAAAATAGCAGTTGAAATTTAGTCACTGATAAGCATTTGGTTACCCCAAAACTTAAGAAGACATTTAAAGAGGTAGTGTCAGGCACCTATAAGTAGCTCTGACTATCGGCTCCGTCATCTCAATTATAGGAGCGATTGGGAGAACAATGAACCGCACTGCTGTTGTCAAGAATGCAGCATTTACTGACCTTGTATCACAAAGGCATCATCAAACATATACTTCAGTGTTTCTGTGTACAAGAGCTCAATCAAATCCCAGCACAGTCAGGCACTTAAGATTTCTCTAAAGATATACACAATAAACACAATGGAATGCAAAGAGAGCCACTCAGAAAATAACAGAACCCTAAAAGCCCATTCACTGTACTGTTACCAACACATCTTGTTTGGTTCACTAGTTTTCCCTCCTTCCAAGAAAATATCTCTGCAACAGCAACAGAATGGGCCAAGCTCAAAAACATAAGCCCAAGGGTTCCTGCTCTCCCTACTTTAAACTACTGTCTATAAGCAGCTTCGGAGTGAGAGAGGTTCGTTTGTCAGGGCCGCTGGCCTGTAACTGCTCAGCTCAGTTGCTGCAGCTTTCTTTGTGTGGCAGGAAATTATTGGATTTATTGGATTCTACCAGCTTTATCAAAGGATACAATGACACCAGCTTGGATGAGATGAGAAAAGACCCCTGGAATCTTTTGACTTCTTTCATTGTAAGTATGTCAGAAAACATTTCTTTTCTCTTTCCAGGGCACTGATGAATAATTCTCTTGTCCGTTTACCTGATAAGCCACTTTGCCAGCATATGCCTAGACTACACTGGCTGTAAGTTTCTCCTTTTGTTTTTGAAAGAGCACAAGCTATTATTTTCTTACCTTAATTCTGTTTGATTCATCAGATTTCTTGGCAAAGCCCGAGGTAAGTTCTGCCTTAGGTATCATATTAAGTATACTCGAATTCAACAAGAGGGCATAGCACGTCTGCTCTGATGTCTGTCTTAATTAGTGAAGAATGAGATAATGTCCTGTTTGCATAACCTAAGCTAGGTGTGGTAAACTGAGCTGAGCAGAACCTTCATCACGTGGCAGATACTCTACCTCTCCAATTTCTATTTCTTGCACATTCTAACCATCTTAAAAACCTCCAAATTTCCAAATCACCCACCCAACAAAACAAAGAAGGGCAAAGGGTGAAACCATAAAACCTGTTTCCTTCCTCACTAGCTTCAAAACATTTCCCAGAGTCACAAAAGCTGTGAATAAAAAAAGGATTTCCAAAGATCAACTGGACCATCTGCAGTATAATACTTGAAGAACTTCAGCAAGTGTGAGCCTACTCCTGATAAGGCAACCTTTCTACTTTTGGATAGGTCTAATTGTTAGGGAAATATTCCTTATATGGAACACAATTCTGCCTCCTTGAAAATTCCAAACACTGGTGTGAATTCGATCCTCTGGTGCTAATAATAATAACTGATATTAACGTAGCTTTTAAAGTTAACAAAGCACTTACACACTTACCTCATTAGATCCTTACTATCTCATAAGATCTTTACAATGACAATCCAACAGGTGTTACACAGGTGTTAGAACAAGTGTTCATTGCACAGGTCAGGAAACTGTGGATCAGAAAGGATGAGTGGGCTTCCATTTTATCACCTGTAAAATGAAGAGGTTAATTGGACTCCATGACCCATCAACTACTTCCTCCCAGGTCTAAACCTATAATCCTATGACTTCTTCAGAATAATAAGGCAGAATTTGAACTCAATTCTCTCCTAATTTCAGGCCAGTCATTTTTTCACTATGACACATTGCCTCTCTAATCAGAACACGTCAAATCTGTCTTGTACGTGACACTGCTTCAAACATCCGAGGACACTTCATATTTTCTACCTCCTATCCCCAAACCTACTCTTCTCCAAGCTAAATATTCTCAGTCCCTTCTTTATATTTATATATTCTTTATGTAGTATGATCAATACTATCATCATCTGGATATGCTCCAACTTCCCAATATCTCTACTAAAATTAGATAAACATAACACTTCAGATGTCGTCTGACCAGGGCAGAGTACGGCAAAACACTCACTCCCTACTTTTTAACACTATGCCTCTCTTAAAGTAGCTTAAGTTGGTTTTAGCTTTTTCTGGCTGTAGTTAATTCCCAACCCTGGCATTGTTAGACCACATTGAGTTTGTGGTCCACTGATAGCCCTAGACAGTTTTTACCTTTACCATTGCTTAACCATATTTTATCCATCCTGGATTTGGCATCATAGACTCAGAATTGTAAGAGATCTTTTTAAAAATCTAGTCCAACACTCTCATTTTATATAAATAGAAATGGAGACTCAGAGAGGAAACTAGCCCAAGTCTACACAGATACCAAGTAGAAGACCCAGGTTTAAACTCAGGTCCTTTAAATCTAAATCATAAACAAGCTCCTTCTACTGTACCAACTGGTAGAGTGGATTTTTTTGAACCCAGGAATTTACACTTAATCTTGTTAGATTTGGTCTCCAGCCTAGCCTGCTGGAATCTATTCTGGATTTCAACCCCACTGTCAAACAGTGGACTCCATTGTCACACAATCCATCACGGCTTTGTGTCATCTGTAAATTTGATATAATTTATAACTTATAACTATTGGTAAAGTACCAAGGACTGAATTCTGAGGCATCTAAATCACTAGAGAACATGGTCCAAACTGACATTGATATGTTAATGACTACTCTTTGTGTCTGGTCATTTAACAATCAATCAATACACATTTAATAAGTGTCTCCGATGATGCCTATTAGGCATGGTGCTAGGCACTAGGCATACAAAGACATAAATGAAATAGTCCCTGCCCTCAAGAAGTTTATATTCTATTGGAGAAGATGATATATGCAAATGTAAGTAAATACAAAATACAACCAAAGCAAATACAAGGTAATGGGGTGGAGGCACTAGCAGCTAGGATGATCAAGAAAGGCTTCATGTAAGAAGTAAGTTTGGGAATGACTTGAGTTGAGCTTTGAAAGAAGCTAGGGATTCCAAGAGGCAAAAGTGTTTCCTAAAAGGAATGGGGAGCTACTAGTACTTTTTGAGTGAGTGCAGTAAAACTTGTTCATTAGAAATATTACCTCAGCAGTTATATAAAGGATGAATTGGAGAAGAGAGACAGTTGGGAAAGGGAAACAAATTATAAGGTTACTGAAGTATTCCAGGCCAGAGTGGTCCAGAGGTCCTGAACTAGTGTGGTGGTTATATGAATTGCTAATTAATTTATGTAATTATGAAATGGGACAGGCAAGCTTGGTTCTTTGGGTACTTACCAGAAAACACCACAATGGCAGCAGGAAGTTAGGCTGCAATCACAAATAAGGCACAGAAGGGCCAGGGGAAAATAGCACAGAAAGTACAGAGACAAATGGTGCAAGACAGAGTAAATATAGAGGCAGACAGCATGGAGACAGAGATGGGATGAGAGAACGAGGTAGACAGCATGGGGAAGAGAATGAGAAGTGGGAAAGTCACAGAAAGTCCCTCCCACAAGGATAGATTAGAGATGGGGGCACTCAGTAGGATGGTCGCAGATGAAGGTGTTAGAATGCTCAGGTGGGCAGAAGTTTAAGGTCTCATTTTTACAGTTTTATCTGTGTGACCTTGAGTTAATTCGTCAAAATAACCAAATCATCTCAAAGTTGTGGGTAAAACTTTAAAGTTAACACGTCCATGTCATCTCATAGTTAACAACATTTGGTGTTCTGCTGGTCTTACTGCAGATGTCTGGAACCTATCTGATATTGATGTATGATAGCACTACAAGGCTCAGACAGCAAGGCCCACATGGCTTCCTCTGATATAGCACATATCCTTCGGATGTGAATTTTGGTTAATTTTTGATACAGTTTGCAAATTATGATCCTTTGATCTTTGGGATGGTGTGTTCTATGACTTCTAGGTTCCCCTTTGCAATCTTACTTCCTGCTATTAACTTGCAGGTATACCTCCGAAATATTACAGGTTTGGTTCCACCCCCTGCAATAAAGCAATTATCACAGTAAAGTGAGTCACATAGATTTTTTGGTTTCCCAGTGCACTTAAAAGTTTGTTTTTACACTATATTGTAGTCTTTTAAGTGGGCAATAGTATTCTGTCTTTAAAAATGTACATACCTTAATTAAAAAATACATTATTGCTAAGAAAAAAAAATACCAACTATCATTTGAACCTTCAGCAAGTCATATTTTTTTTTTTTTTGCTTGGTAGAGGGTCTTGCCTCAATGCTGAATGGCTGTTGATAAGGTTGGTGATTGCTGAAGATTGGGGTAGATATGACAATTTCTTGAAATAAGACAACAATGAAATTTGCCCCATTGATTGACTCTTCCTTTCATAAAAGATTTCTCTGTAGCATGCGATGCTGTTTGATAGCATTTTACCTGCAGTAGAACTTCTTTCAGAATTACAAACAATTCTCTCAAATCCTGCCACTGGTTTATCAGCTAAGTTTATGTGATATTTTTATATTTATATTTACGTGACATTCTTCAATATTATTGTGTCTTAGGGAATAGAGAGGCCCAAGGAAATGGAGAGAGACAGGGGAACATTTGGTTGGTGGAGCAGTCAGAACACACACAACATTGTTTGGTATGGTTTGTGGCACCCCAAAACAATCACAATAGTAACATCAAAGATCACTAATCACAGATCACCATAACAGATACAATAATAATGGAAAAGTCTGAAATATTATGAAAATTACCAAAATGTGCCACACATACACAATATGATCACATGCTGTTGGAAAAATGGCACCAAGAGACTTGTTCAACACAGGGTTGCCACAAACTTTCAATTTGTACAAAAATACAATATCTTCAAAGCATAACAAATCAAAGCAAAATAAAACAGGGCATGCCTGTACTATACTGATTAGAAGGGTGGAAAGGGAGGGTCAAGGAGACCAGAACAAGATAAAATTTTAACACACTATGTTAAAAAAAAAAAGGGGGGATAGATGTAAATGATGTTGTAGAGGTAGAATCAGCAAGATTTGGTAATTAATTGGATATGACTGGTGAGAGAAAGTAAAAATTATTCAAAGGTTGAAGATGAGAGACTGAAAGGACAGTGGTACACTCTACAGAAATTGGGATATTAGGAAGAGGCAGCATGGATTGGGAGGAAGAAGGATGAGTTCTATTTTAGATATATTGATTTTGATATACTTACTATGACCTCCAGCTTGAAATGTCCAATAATAAATCGGTGATATGTGACTGGAACTCAGGAGAAAAATTAGGATTGGATACTAGATGAGTAAATCATCTATATAGAGATAATGATTGAACCCAAAAAAGCTGATGAGATCACCAAGAGAACAAGTATAAAGAAAAGAAGGTTCAAGACAGAACCTTGATGTATAACCACAGTTAACTTAACCAATTACAAAGCCAACTAATTGTATTTTTACTTCACCCATATTTCTGTACCTTGTACATGATGACAACATAAGAAATTATAAAAAGTGTCTTGCTGGAATCCAGGTAATTCACCATGAAGTGTTTTATTTCTAGGTTCTTAAGGCTAAGAAAATGGTTGTATACATCATAGAAACCCTGAATACAAGAATTGAAAGGAATTTTAATGAATATCTAGTCCAAAGATGTCAAATTCAAATAGAAACAGAAGATGCCAAACTATGTATGAGGATCCCTGCAGGCTGCATATTAACTTAGAAAACATATATTTACATATTTATTTTTTCATTAATACATAAACATTAAAATCAGATTGGAAGTACATTTTAATCTGATTCTGGCCACACTTGAGAGAGTTGTGGGCCACACGTTCAACACCTTTGATCTGGTCCAACTCCCTCATTTTACAAACAAAGTAAGGCCCAGATGGAGTTTGTTTTAAAGGGATTCTCTTGTAGTACCACTACAGTAAAAGTAGCAGCACTTTAAGGTTTTGCAAAGCATTTTACATATATTATCTATTTGCTCATCACAACCCTGATATAGGTGCTACGAGCGTCAATTAGTTGTCCTTTGAGGTCCTCCGAGCTAAGTTATGATCCTATGATCCTTTAACTCAATCAGGGTCATATGTTAGTGTCTCAGATAAGAGTTGAACCTGTTTTATTACATCATGCTGCTTCTAACAATATTTAACATATCCAGGAACCTCACCTATCAGGAAAACAAGATAAAACCAGTTAGTAATTTAAAAAGTAGAGGGGTGAGCTGTTAAAATAAATGTATATCTACATATGTATGTGTGTGTATATGTGCACTAAAGTGTATCCATTTTCTTTACATATGGATCTTTCCTTAGAGCTGATTTTATTTATATTGAATTCAAATGTTTAAAAAACTAATTTCCAAATCCATATCAGATTTAAAACTGTCCATTATAAGGAGGTGGAAGGACATACTAAATGCACCCTCAGAAAAACTTGATAAAAATTATATCTGACATTAAGATTTCCTAATCTCTTTATTCATAACAAACCTGTAACGTAAGTAGTTCAAGTAGCATTATCCCTCCCTTACTGATGAGGAAACAGAGGCTTAGAGAAAATAAGTGACTTGCCCAAGGTCGAAGAGCTATTTAGTATCAGAAGTAAGACTTAAATTTAGGTTTCCCCTGACTCCAAGTTCACCTAAGTTCACATGGCTCAGTAGGTAAGTGTTGGACCTAAAGTCAGGAAGACATAAGTTCAAATGTAGCCTCAGGTATTTATTATGTGACTCTGGGCAAGTCACTTAATCTCTCTGCTCTAGTTTCCCCATCTGTTGTTAGGCTCATATGAGATATTTGTAAAGTGTTTTGCAAACCTTATGCAAACCTATGTAAGTGGTAGCTACTACAATAATGTATGTGTCTGTGTCTGTGTCTGTATAACTACTATATGTAGAAAGAGAGAAGACATGAAGATATGAAAATCTGACCCAGTAACTCAAAAGACAAGAGGAGCTCAGGGCCATTTTGTGTGTAGGCTCTGAGGGCATCATTTCTTTATAGCACATTATATACTAACAGATCATCACATCATCAGGTTGGGAGCCATCAGGGACCTTAGAAATACAGTAGAGGCATGAGCTAAGAAATAACCACTGGGATAAAATCACATGTCCTTGAAGTACTGAAGTATATATCTAATGTCTCAGTTAGGGAGGCATGTAAAAAGAACAGAGGTGTAGTGGAAAGAGCCTGATTTGTAGTCAGATGACTGGTTTTGAAAATAGGCAGTGTTACTCATCATCTGGAATGTACATCACCAACCTCTGAAAACTAGACAGTGCTTAATAAATGGGGGCCTAATGATTTGAGATGGCTTGTGTGACTTTGGGTTTCAATGTCCTCAGGTATAAAATGAGAAAGGGCAGCTAGTTGGTGCAATGGATAGAATGCTAAGCTTGGAGTCAGGAATACTCCTCTTCCTGAGTTCAAATATGTCCTCACTTACCAGCTGTGTGACCCTGGGCAAGTCACTTAACTCTATTTGCTCTGTTTCCTCATTTGTTAAATGAACTAGAGAAAGAAGTAGCAAACCACTGCAGTATCTTTGCCAAGAAAAACCCAAATGAAATGATAAATAGTAGAATGCAACTGAACAACAAAAACTTTAAAAGAAGCTATGCTTAATAGATAGCAGTATCATTTACAATACTGTTTTTAAAAATGGACAGATGATAGATGGAAAGACACAGATACTATAGAAGAAACAGATGAGATATAGTATAGACAGATGGATGATAAAGAAGATATAGTACAGACAGATATAGAAGATAATTGAGATAAGATAGAACTTCCCAAAAAAAAAAGTGAATTTAGAGAAAATAAGGAAACAGTCCCAGATTTGAGCTATTTTAGAGATTCTCAACCAGAGGTCCTAGAATTTTTTATTCATATTTTGCTAGGTGTATTTCAGTATAATTGGCTCCCATTGATAATCCCTATGTTCTTTTATTTTATGCCTTTCCAAACATTTTTCTGAGGTCTGTAGCCTTCACCAGATGGGTCCATGGCACAAAAATAGTATGGAACCCAGGTCTTCAGTGATCTTGCTGCATTATTTTGTAGACTAAGAGACAGGTGGGATGAGAACCGGCTTCATGCTTTCTAAGCCTTGGCGGCGCTTTCCAGTGAAACACGTGGGCAGGACAGGCACTGCTCCAGCAGCCCCTTTCCCCCTGCCCTCTGGGGAGCTCAGCGTGGGCAGGGAAGGGCCGGGAGGGGCGGAGAATGCTGGGGACTGCGGGGGTGGGAGGGAGGGAGTGGCCCCGCCTCCGCGGCTTCTGACGTCACAAAGGCCAGCGCAGACCAGGTGCAGCCTCGCCGCCCTCAATTCAGCTTGGCTCTGGGTGACTGGGAGCCAGGGGCGAAACCCTGCCCTCCCCGGGGCTAATCCCAGGCCGAAGCTGCAGGCTCCGCCTCTCAAGCCCCAGACTGGGCGGTGCCGGGGTCAGGAGAGGACACCGGCCGTCCTGACCTCTAGACCTGGGCGCCCGACGATCCCGGGATTGGGAGCTCTCCTCCGGCAGCCCCCGGGATGGCCATGTCCCCGGAGGCCCCGCTCAAGCTCTCCGACTGCCTCTGTCCCATCTGCACGGAGATCCTGGTGGAGCCCGTGAGCCTCCCGTGCGGCCACACGCTGTGCCACTTGTGCTTCCAGCAGACCGTTCAGAAGGCCAGCCTGTACTGCCCCTTCTGCTGTCGCCGGGTGTCCTCGTGGGCCCGCGCCCAGGCCCGCCAGAACACGCTGATCAATCAGAAGCTATGGCGAAGGATCGAGAAGCAGTACCTCCAGAAGGGCGGGCTCGCTGGCGGAGACAAGAAGATCCAGCGCAGGGAGCTGGAGGCGGACCTCCCTCCGCGCAGGCTCAGTGCGCCCGGGGAGCTGAGGCGGCAATTATGAGGAGGAACTGAGCAAAGCGGCCGCGGAGAGGCGGGCATGTGCAGAAGAGGAGGCTCGCCTCAGTGCGGAGTACATAAACCGGCTGCTGGCAGAGGAGGAAGAGGAGCACAGGAGGAAGGGGGAGGAGGAGGAGGAAGAGGAAGGCAGTCAAAGGCAGGGACCAGAGGAAGAAGGGAAGCTGAGACTAGAGCTAGAACAAAAAGAGAATCAGAAGGAAGAAGAAAATCAGAGGTCAAAACAAGAAGAGACTCAAACTAGGGAGAAGGAGAAGAGGCCAAGGTATGAGGAAGAGTGGAGGCAAGCTAGGGAGGAGGGAGAGAGACCGAGGCAGGAGGAGGAGGAAGAAAGACAAAGAGAGAGAGAGGACCTGCTGAAAATAGATGAAGAACTGGCCCAAGAAATAAGCATCAGCCTTAAAACACTGAAATGTGTCTTGACTTCCCTTTTTGTTGTCAGTGCATCTTACCCTGCCCCTTGCAAAACACCAAAGAAAACAGAGAAAGCTGAACAATGCTAGAGACATTCACAAGTACACGACACCCAGATCCCAACTTACCTCCCCAGCACTACAGAATGAACTTGGAACCGCAGGAGGCAGGAGAGCCTACAATTCTAAGGAGGTCAGCGTTGGTAAAGGGAAGAGCCCCAGGTGGCAGGGGGAAAGAGCAGGAGACTTGCCAACTTTATCTACACAAGCCTTCTGTGAAATTGAAAACATTAGTGTAAGGGCTTCTCTGGAATATGGGGTGAAAGAAAGTGAGCCAGGAACAAGCAGTGAGGATGAAATTATAAGCCGCTGTAATGTTGCAAATCACAAACTGCCCAAAACCAAATTTTTCTGCTCTGGGAAAGTTGTAACTAAGGCTTCCAGCAAATCAGAGAATGAATGCACAGCAGAGGTGAAAAATGAGGGCACTAGTCTGTTGGTGAATAAAGAAATTCCAGGAAGGAAAAGTCTGGATTCTCTGTCTGAATCCCTCAGTGATTCAGGCCTCTCTTCCAAGACAAGGAAAATATGCCCAGAAACCATCCCAGAGAAAGAGGAAAGAAAAAATAACTTTACCCAAAAACTGATAGATTTAGAGCACTTATTTTTTGAGAAGCATAAACAAGAGGAAGAGGATAGATTATTGGCATTACAGCTTCAGGGAGAAATGAATAAAGAGCACAAGAAGCTGAATCAGAGAAAGAGGACCCGAGATGAATACCTCCTTCGCCCTAGAGTCTCCTTAAATTCAGATAAAAGAAGAAGGGTTTGCAGCAGAAGTTCAAAGAAAAAAACTGAAGCAGGACTTTCAGAGCCTTCAAGGGGTCCAAAATATGAATAGTGGCCATCTTTTAAAATCTAGTTGAAACTTTCAGCTAATGATAAAGGAGAAAAGGTAACAAACTCTTAACCAAAATGCCCCTTCTCTATTGCCTAGTTAATTCACACACACATACATACACACACACACACACACACACACACACACACACACACACACAAAATAGCTTTTCAAATGTTGCAATAAGCTGCAAAATACAGAATATGGGAAAGCAGTAAGGAGTTAAACTTGATTATAATGCTCTCCTATTCCATAATATCCTTGTAGATAGGTTTTGTTTTTGTTTTGGTGCATTTTGTTCACTGAAGGTGCCTGTTTTCAGTAGTTGCTTAATTGGGAGGCTGTCTTATTAGAGGAAAGCTCCTCAGGTGCCATTACAAATATTCATCTTCAGATTGAAATCTGAAGTTTACAACTTCAGTTTACAATAAAGTTAGTTTTTTATATTAGCAGTAACCAGGGTACACTGAGATGAAAGATCCTACTGGTTGGTGAATACCTTAGGCCAGATCCAAGATGTCCTTAAATGTCCTAAATACCATAATCCTTTCTCAAAAAAAAAAAAAATACCTTTGCAATTACTATTCACCTTTGTGTCTTGTTGAGTTGTAATTTAAATAAAAGGAGAAATTGTTCTAAAGAATTTAAAGGATGAAGATGAGATTTAATCTTCAGTGAGAGAAAGGTGAATTCAATCTCCTTGCTATGTCTCAGAATGTTTAAGGAGTTTACTTCAGTGACTTATCACTAAATTTAGTTCATCTTAATTAGATTTTGGTCATAATAAAACCTTTATGGGATGGATCAGCATCGTTGAGAGAGGGAAAAGGAATCTGGAAAATGAGTTGAGAGGAAGAGAGCTTCATTCCTCAAGCAAAAGGAAATGAGAGTGGCTATATGATTAAACTGAGGAGCAGGGAAGGAAAAGTGAGATTAAGCAGTCTTTACAGATGGAAATAGGATAAAGAAGCAAGTGACATTGGCAGGATAGCCTCTTCTGTATTGGGTTCCTTTCTGTAAAGGCACTGCCCCCACTCTGGCCTCTGACAGTTTTAAATCTTAGTACCAGGCAACAAATTGATAATTGGCCAATCATGTTGATTTTGGAAAATTGGCTTTTAAAATTTCAATTCCAGAAAATGAAATTTTATATAAAAAGTAATTTTTTTAAGAAAGAAGTGAGCAATGTAAAAAAAAAAAACCTGTCATAAGTAATAATGATTATATTTTTGTTTTCAGCATTATAAAGTAAGTTCCTCCTGATAATTCTATAGAGTGGGAATTGCAAATATTACTTATCATCACCCATGTTAGAAATGATGAAGCAGAGGCTCAAAAAGTTTAAATGAACTTGCCTATGGTCACACAGTGAATAAATGGTATTCAGGCCCATATTTTCTGGTTACATATCCAGACCTCTTTCTACTATATCATGCTATCTTTGTAGTAGAAAACACAAATGAATTTTTCCTTGGTCAAAATCAGAGACTTCTTTTCCAGGTGATAGACCCTGTGAATATAGGTGACTTTCAATATGCTAACATTGCAAAGAAGATTAAATATGGAAAAGAAGGGACTGCTAACCCTTACTTTTGGATGTAGATGTGAAGAAAGTACTATAAAACTTTTTAAACTATTGTATTTGAAATATTGTATGTTGAAAAATTCAAAGTCCTTACAGGGAGAGGCTTAAAAGGTAAAGAAGGTGAATGCTGTGCACTTATTTAATAGGTGGTTTTAAGCAGTTACATGCAAAATAACTAATATTTCACATGAACAATCAAATATTGTGCTGGGCCAGGATACAAGTACAAAAGAACGTGGTCAGCTGTTAGTAATAGTAGCTAGCAGAAGTTCGCAAAACAAACTTAATCTTGCTTGGGGAAAATTTTGTGTAGGGTACAGTTGGGAATTTATGCTTCCAGGGTTTTTGAGTTTAATTATGAGTCAGGAAAGAGCTGGTAATGGACTGTCTGATCCTTTTAAAGATGATAACTGGCTTCTAGGATTCAGGAGAAAGGTGTGGGCTAGAAAAGCAGCTTCTTATTGTTGTAGGTTTTTTTGTTTTGTTTTGTTTTCATTTGTTTGTTTTTGGTTAGGCAGTGGGGTTAAGTGACTTGCCCAGGGTCACATAGCTAGTGTTATGTGTCTAAGGCCGAATTTGAACACAGGTCCTCCTGAATCCAGGGCTGGTGCTCTATCCACTGCACCACCTAGCTACCCCTATTGTTGTTTTTTAAACCACCTTTAGGGGCTTTTTTTTTAATGCTTAGAAGCTAAAGAGACAATTTAGGTGGCATTTTTTTTCTATTCTCCTAAAGGAAAAATTTGCTTCATTGTATGCCTAAAGACAAGAACATATATTGTAACCATATATTGACAAGGCCTCTGACATTTTGAAGTAAAAAATTTTATTCAGCATAGGATTAATATGAAGTAATAATTTAAATTAAAATAATAGTGGGTGACTCAAAGAACAGAGACATAGTGATTATAAGTAGGCCATGGCATATTTGCCAGCATTGACTTACATGCAAGAGATGATGACAAGGCGTTGTCCAGAAGATGAATTTTTTGGAAGAGAAGGGACACCAGTGAAAGGGATCACAAAGGATGAATGCAAGAGTTGCACTAGTAGTATGAGAATGTCAAAAGATTTAAAAGAAGGGCTCCAGTTCATTGGGTATCAGGTCTATGGAGGATTTTTAGAACCTTAAGAATCTCAGGATAAAAAGGCATGGCTGAATTAATGTTTACACCAATGGTAGGAATATCCATAGCAACGAAATCATAGATCTTTTGAAGAATTAGAGTATGACCTATCACCCAGAACTAAAGCCTTGGGTTTGCACAAACTGGGTTCAAATCTTGAGAGAAGAGGAAAGAAATATGTTTCTTAATTTCTCACAAGTCATTCTCTCCAGTTCATTTTCCTATCAGACATCAGAACTTGGCCTGTTTTGTACCTACCCAGAAATCATTTGGGAGAGGGAGAGATAGGGGACAGTAATAATCTCAGTATTGTTTTTGTCATCGTCCCTTTTTGAATCATTCCTCAGTCCCAGAGAATCTTCACAAAGGCAAGAAGAGTCAAGTTTCTCCCAAGCTATTACTTAGACCTTCTCTAAGAAAATATTTTCAGTATCACAACAAAAGTCCTCACTCATCCTTTAGTCTTATTAAACTTTCCCAGGATCTTCCTAGTCACGCCTTGTATAGAAATATAAATAATCATAGACATTGGGGTCCTTTACAATTGACAGTGCACTTTTATCACAACAACCTGGTAGTATATATAATGAAGCATTAGGGTAAGTCTGACTTAGACAGCAACCTGTGTCAAATATGCCATTTCCTCTTAATGTGAATATGCACGTGGAAATCATAAGATCATGGTTTTAGAAGAAGAAGGGACCTCAGAGGCCCATTCAACCACCCTCATTTCACAGGTAAGGAAATTATGGCCCATTAAGTGATTTACCTGATATCATTCAGGTAGTGGGTAAAGGAATCAAGTTTGGAATTGAGGTACTCCACCTCTAAATCCCGTGTTCTTTCCATTGTAGAAAAAAAAGTGACTAAGTAACCGTACATTTGTAAGGTTAATAGTGAAGGCACTACTAGCCCTTCTTGACAGTTATCAAAATTGTAAGTGTAGAATCTAACGAGAAAGTAACCAGGTTCTAGGGAACGTGTCTTGTAAAGCCAATCTTTTCCTCATAACAGCAGACATCACAAAGAACCAGAAACTTTGAGATCTAGACGAAAAGTGGCAGGACTGGTACTGGAATTTCTTAGCCTTCATTACCATAAAATTAAAGAGTTGAAAGAGACCTCAGAAGTCACGTAGTCCAATTTCTCCCCTAATACATAAGGAATTTTTTCCAACAACCAGAACTGTCCAACAATGGAATAGACTACTTATCAATGTAGTATGCTTCCTTTCCCAGGGGTATTTAACAAGAGACTGAAGGGAGGTGAGAGGTGAGAAGGGAAGAATCAAAGATCATCCCAAAGAGTGCACAAGAATACATCAGACAAAAAAAAAAAAAAAACAGGATTGGGAGTAAGGTAATAGCTTCATTTTGGGTCGTGTTATGTTTGAGGTACCAATGGAACATACAGGTGAAGATGTTCTCTAGTCAGAGATGTAGTTCTGGAGCTCAGAAAAGTCCAGAATGGAGATAAAGATTTGGAAGTCATATGCATAAAAGTAGAGTTTATAGCAGTAGGAATGAATGAGATTATCAAGGAGATAGATGATGACTACTACAATTATAACTATGACTATTACTAGAACTACAGCTACCAAAAAAAAAAAAGTAATAATAGCCAACATTTATGTCGTGATTTAAGGTTTGGAAAGCACTTTACGTTATCTTTTTTGGTCTCCAAAACAATTCTAAGGTTATTGATATTGACAGGTTAAATGACTTGCCCAGGGTCACACAGAGCTAAGTGTTTAAGGCAGGAAAACTTAGGTGTTCCCAACTCCAAGTCTGGTGCATCATGCCACCTAGCTGTATAAAGCTAAGGACTGACCCTTGAGAAACACAATAGATGAGTAATTAGCAAAGTAGACAAAGAGTCATTAGAGAGATAACCAAGAATTCCATATCACCAAAGGCAATAAAAGGTAAAAGTATGCCATAGGTAGGGGTGGTTAGTAGCATGCAAACCACTTCGAGATAGAATGAATGGATGGATGGATGGATGGAGTGTCAGGCCCTATGCTAAACTCTGGGCGTACATGTTAAGGCAAACGGGAACTAGTCCCTACCTTCAAGGAGCTTATATTCTAATGAAGGAAGACAACACAAAATAGTGTTGGAATGGGGGAGGGTAAAGATAGAAATGGTACTGGCCTGGGGACATAGAAAGGAGACTTCAAGGAGTGGTAAAAACTGGATCCTCACGAGAGGATCCTTTGCCTATCGGAGCATTGAGAGAACCAGGAGTGGAGACATAGTTTCTGGTGGGGCTGAGATAATTAGAGTATGAAGCCATAGTGGGTACTTGAGGAAGCCGCTGGTGGTGTGATCCCCAAATAGATAAGGTTAGAAACTTATCTACTGGAGCCACTAGTTGTCCTTAACAGACAATGGGCTTTTAAGGAGGGGATGACTGCTGGAGCAGTTCCTGAAAGAAGCAAGAGGAAATAGGAGAAAGGGTAAAAAATAAAGGAATTAATTAGTCTTAGTTCTAGCATTAGCTTGTCTTCAATCTGAAGAAACATGTACATGAAAGTTTGATATGTGGAAGAGGTATTAGATGACTTGTACTGAGCCTCAGAAGACAGAACTAGTAGTAGTAGTTGGAAGTAACAAAGATGCAGATTTAGCAGTGATAGAAATATTCCTACCACAGGCACCTATCTCATGGAAGAGATCCAGCACAGAATACAAGTCAAAAAGAAATGCCCTATAGAGAATGAAGTCCTTCCAGTGCTTGTGTTTGTGAATGGCAGTGCAACCTGCATCAAGCCCTGGGACATGAGAGACTCCAAAATGAGATCCATAAATCTCTCAAAGGAGTTTAACCTACCTATCCACAAAAGAAAAGCTGAGTATATTAAAAATGCCAAACTCTGATATGAAGTGTCCAAACTCTCATATGAA